TTCCTCTCTTGCAGTGTACCTCCACCCTTCTGAGCATGATGTCCCTCTCCAGGGACTGGTTCTTCCTGCCTACATGCCCAAAGTATGTAAGATGGAGCTTCAAAATACTTGCCTCCAAGGAACAGCAGGGCTTCACCCTCTGTAGGACAAACCTATTACTTCTCTTGGTGGTCCATGGTATGTTCAACACATTTTTCCAGTACCACAGTTCAAAGGCATCAATTCTTCTTCAGTCAACTTTAGTCATTGTCCAGCTCTCTGATGCATAGCAAGTAATTGTGAAGACCATGGCTTGAATTAGACACATCTTAGTCTCCACACTGACATCATTGTTCTATAGCACTTTGAAGAGGTCCCTGACAGCAGCTTTCCCCTGAACAAATAGTCTTGATTTCTTGACTGCTGCTGCCAATAGTGTTGATTGTGGAGTTGGAATTGATAAAAATCTCAATCTCTTCTCAATCTATCATGGCACTTCTGAATGGTCCAGTGGTGAGAATCTTTGTCTTCTTTATAATGAATTTCAATCCATATTGAAGACTACAGTCCCTGACCTTCTGTAGCAAACACTTTAGATCTTTCTTCCTCAGTTTCAGCAAGCAAGGTTGTGTCATCTGCACAATGACGGTTCTTGATGGGTCTTCCTCCAATCCTGATGTCAGATTGCTCCTTATAAAGTCTAGCCAGGCTTTTGAATGATCTGTTCTGCTTATAAATCAAAAAGGTATGGAAACAGGTCACATTCTTGACGTACTCATTTCCTGATTATGAACAATGCAGTAATTCCTTACTCTGTTCTGACAACTACTTTCTTGTCCAAATTAACTCTTCTACAAATGTATTTTGGTATGATACATATGATAGACTATAGAGCTATTTGATTGAATAGACAGCTGTACTAATTCACACACCATTCCACTCCCTGATTTCAAGTCCTACTATACAGCCATGATGGTCAAGACAGCGTGGTACTGGTACAATGACAGACCCATAGATCAATAGAATAGAATTGAGAACACATAAATCAGCCCATCTACCTTTGGTCAACTGATTTTTGACAAGGAGATGAAATCAGTTAAGTGGGGAAATGACAGCCTTTTTAACAAATGGTATTGGCAAAATTGGAAAACTAACTGCAGAAAACTCAAGCAAGACCCACACCTCACACCATATACAAAAACCAACCGAAAGGGGATCAAGGACCTAGGACTAAAATCAAGGACTATAAACTTCATTAGAGAAAAGTTTGGAAGAACTCTAGAAGCCCTAATCCACAACATGAATAGTCTTCCAAGCATCCTGAAAAACCTACAGCCAGGAGAGGATAAAATATATGAATGGGGCCTTTTAAGAATAAAATCCCTATGCACATCAAAAACTTCTCCAATAGGGTAAAAAGGACAACCACAGACTGAGAAAGAATATTTGGTAATGGCATGTCAGAAAAGGGATATCTAGAATACTCTGGCACCACAACAAGATAAATGTAAACAATCCAACTGAAAAATGGGCACAGGATATGCACAGACACTTGATCAAAGAAGACATTCAGATGGCGAACAAACACATGAATAAATGTTCAAAATCCCTAGTCCTAAGAGAGATGCAAATCAAAACAATTATGGGATATCATCTTATCCCAGTAAGAATGGCAAAATACAACAAAATGGCAGACAAACAAATACTGGCAAGATTATAGAGAAACTGGAACTCTTACTCACTGTTAGTGGGAGTATAAAATGATGCAACTACTCTGGAAAGCAGTATGGCACATTCTCAAAAAGTTGGAAATAGAAATACCATTTGACCCAGCAATTCTACTAATGGGAATATGCCCTAAAGAAATCAGAACTGCCACTCAAGCAGATATAAGCACATTCATGTTTATTGCTGTGTTATTAACAATAGCAAAGTGATAGAAACAACCCAAATGCCAATCAATAAGTGAATGGGGAGAGAAGTTATGGTATATTTACACAATGGAATACTTTGCAGCATTGAAATAAAGGAACTCATAAAATATTATACTAATGGTGACCCTAGAGGACATTATGTTGAGTGAAATATCTCTGCCATAAAAGGACAAATACTATATAATGCCACTGTTATAAAACAGGACTGACATGGAGGTCGGGGAATAACTAAGAAAAGAGGGGGAAAATAATGCTTACTTCATTGAAATAGATGAAGGAAGGAACTGTTTAAAAGGAATATATGAGTAGGTATTATTTTTATGACAACAGTCCTTAGGGTGGCTATGAGTCACAGGCAACTCAGTGGCACATAAAAACAACAACCACCTGAATTTGGCATCCCCATAAGAATAAAGTTAAGAATGTGTACTACCAGAACTAATAAGAGAAGTGGACATAAGTAAATGACTAATATTCATTGTGCTTGACAGAATGGAATTGTACCTATATCAACACAATCTGGTTCCAGACTTTCCACCATCATGCTATTTTCTTTAGGTTGTTTTATTTCCACCTTATTTTTTTTATATGTTGTTGTTGTTATGTGCCATCGAGTCGTTTGCGACTCATAGCGACCCTATGTAGAACAGCCCTAAACCGTGCTCTAGCCCATGCCAATCTCTTTGCCTCTGACACACCCATCCCAATTACCCCAGTCACTGAATCAATCCACCTCATAGAGGGTCTTCCCCTCCTGTGCTGTCCCTCTACTCTACCCAGCATGATGTCCCTCTCTAAAGATCTGTCTCTCCTTACCACATGTCCAAAGTATGTCAGAAGAAGCCCCAGAATCCTTGCCTCCAAGGAGCAGCCTGGTTTAACCCTCTCTACGATGAATCTGTTTGTTTTCTTGGCAGTCCATGGTACATTCAATACTCTTCTCCATCACCACAGCTCAAAGGAGTCAATTCTCCTTCTATCCTCCCTAGTCATTGTCCAACTCTCTGATGCATAACAAGTGATTGCAAAAACCATGGCCTGTATCAGGTGGTCCTTAGTCTCCAGAGAGACACCGTTGCTCCTGAGTACTTTAGAGAGGTCCCTAACAGCAGACTTTCCCATCGCAATACGCTTTTTTGATTTCCTGACTGCTGGTGCCAAGAGTGTTGACCATGGAGCCGAGCAAACTGAAGCTGTGAACAATCTCAATCTCTTCGCCATCCATCCTGATGCTACCAATTGATCCGGTGGTGAGAATTTTTGTCTTCTTGACATTGAGCCTCAGTCCATACTGAAGGATGCAGTCCTTGACCCTCTGCAGGAAGTGCATGAGGTCCTCCTCAGTTTCAGCGAGCAGGGTTGTGTCATCTGCATAACGCAGATTGTTGATAGATCGTCCACCAATCCTAACGCCACGCTTCTCCTCATAGAGCCCAGCCTCTCAGATAATCTGCTCTGCATACAGGTTGAAAAGGTATGGAGACAGGACACATCCCTGGCATACACCCTTCCCAATTTTGAACCATGTAGTGTTGCCCTGCTCAGTTCTGACAACTGCCTCTTGGTCCAAGTATAGGTTTTGCATTAGCACAATAAAATGTTCTGGGATTCCCATTCTTCTCAGAGTCAGCCACAGTTTGTTGTGATCCACACAGTCAAATGCCTTTGCATAATCAATGAAACACAGATAGACATTCTTCTGGTATTCTCTGCTTTCAGCTAAGATCCATCTAACATCAGCTACAATATCCCTAGTACCACGACCCCTTCTAAACCCATCCTGGACTTCTGGCAGTTCTCTGCTGATGTACTGTTCCAGTCGTTTTTGGATAATCTTCAGTAGAATCTTGCTTGCATGTGAAATCAATGATATTGTTCTGTAGTTTCCACACTCAGTTGGGTCACCCTTCTTTGGGATGGGAACAAATATTGACCTCTCTTCCAGTCAGTTGGCCAAGTGGTTGTTCTCCAGATTTCTTGGCACAACTTGGTGAGCACATCCATGGCAGCATCTGTTAGCTGAAATATGTCAATTGGTATACCATCTATTCCGGGGGCCTTATTTTTTGCTATTTCCTTCAAAGCAGCTTGAATTTCTGCCTTCATCACCATAGGCTCTGGCTCAAATGCTACTTCATTAAATTCTTCTGTAGCTGCCAATTCCTTTCGGTACAATGACTCAGTATATTCCTTCCATCTTCTTTTGATACCTCCAGGATCATTTAACATTCTGCCTAAAGCATCCTTTTTTGTAGTAACTCCAGGTTTGAATTTGCTCTTAAGTTCCTTAAAGACTTAATTTAATAACCAACTGAAAGTTGTACAATGTTCTTCTAATCAAATGACTACTTAGGTCTATAAAATGAAAAAAAAAAAAATCTTAAGAGCCTAGTTACCCACCTCCCATCTTTTTTTTTTAATTAATTTTACTGAAAGTTTACAGAAACTTAGGGTTTCCAGTCATTCATTGCTGCACTTTTCTCCCTCCCTGCCCTCCCATTCACTTTTCTCCTTGAAAAGGAAAAGAAAAATTCATTCATTGTTATGCAATGCACAGTCCATGCAACTATGAAGCCTTCACTCTGGACTTCTGTAATGACAAGGATTTGTTCTTTAATGGTGACACTACAACAAATATATTGATTAGCTCTCTACTTTTGGTCATCTGCTTTTCTTAAGTACTAGTTCTTTTCTTTCTGAATAATGGCTTGGGTGGAAAATTCTTATGTGAAGAATATGACGATGAAGAGAAAGAATTCATAGATGGTTTGAAGAGCAGATGTGTACTCTTGTAGGTGTATAACACTTATCTATCCTTTGGAAATAGTTCTTTAAAAATGTGACTTGAGTTCTTTATCTTAGATATTAAATCATCAAATCAAGAATTTAAATATTATCATTCTGAGGAATAAACTGTTAGCAATTTAAAATATTTTATGTTTAGAAAGCTCTTATCATGCTTGTGAGAAATTAATGTATGTATTTAATATTTACTTATGTGTGGTAAAAAAAGAGGATGCTGGATGCCAAAAGTACATTTGCAGAACAGGAGAGCAAAGGCATTGGGGAGGTGAATTTGCTACTCACTTATTAGATGGGATATTGAGAGGACAGGCACAGGGCTGACAGTCTTCTGCAGTACCTTTAGTTGGATCACCATAGAAACCTGGGAGGCATTCATTGCAATAGGGGCCTCCTGTGTGGTCTTTACAGTTCTGAGGAAGAAATGCACATCATTATTTCTGTCTCAGTCGTAAACACAATGCAAGATAATTAGTTTAGAGAGTAATTTGTCTTTTCTGCCAAAGATAGTATTTTCTTGTCCTTAAATGGTCAAATTTGTAACCAAGAACAGTCTCTCTGTCCTTTACTTAACAAAGTAAAAAAAAAATCAGTGGGAAAAGATTTAGTTTTAATGAATACATATTAAAACATATAGGGAGCTCTGATGGCTTAGTGGTAAGAAGTTGTACTGCCAACATGACGGTATGTGGTTCAAATCCCCCAGGCACTCTGCAGGAGAAAGATCTCCTCCTATACTATTTACTTCCATTGCAAAGCCATTGGAATTCAGCTATGAGTTAGTTCACTCCGTGTCAATACAAATAGAAGTAAAAGTTAATTTGATGCCTACTTCATAAGCTACATGTTAAGTTCTGCATATTTTTAAAAGCAAGACTTACATCTGTATGTATTGTTTTCACTTGAAAACAAGATACATTTTTTTCTTTTGTTTGAAATTTCTTCTCAGTGAATTACCATCAGGTGTTTTGTCCACACATATGTGTGAGTGTAATCAGAGGGCCATAATTATATCTGTTTAATGAAAATTATAGTTGATTCAAGGTAAAATCAGCTTAAAGCTGCTGATTTAATGAGGGCTATGGCTAATCATACAAATTCTTTGAGATTATTGCCCTTTGGACTCAGATGTTAATTGTGACCTTGGTGGACTTTCATGGTGTGGACAATACACTAATGTATTATACCTGTGAGGGGTTGGCTTGACTATAATTAAACATTAAGAAAATTGAAAAAAATTAAGCATGTACCAATAGATAATGAAACCATCAGGTGTATAAAAATTTTCCTCAACATTAAAAAAATTAACAGAGATTGCCTCTTACTTCCCATTTTGAGTCTTGTATTTTTTCTAAATTATAGGCTCAAAGTAGAATTATTTCTAAATCTTTATCTACTCATATTAATCAATTCAGTTTGTGTTCATAAAATTTAGGAAAACTAGTATAAAGATTAGACAACTCAAATTGGTAGATTTTTCTATTTTGACACCATATAAACCTATAATTAGCCTCTAATGGCACAAATATACCCTAATTTCTATTATAATTATATAGCATGATTTATCATGATAAATACATTTTACATTTATTGATACAATTTTATAAGTATATAAAGTTATAGTTTTCTCATGTTAAAATAATTCGTTCAGCGGAGCTCAGAGATGTATGAACTTTATATTTTTTCTTTTCTTTTTTTTAAAATTAATTTCCATGAACATCTACAGAGGTTTCGGAATTCCATTCATTCATTGCTGCACTTTTCTCCCCGCCCACCCCCAGTTCGCTTCTCTCCTTGAAAAGTAAAAGAAAAACTCCTTCATTGGTACGCAATCCCCCGCCCCGCACACCCTCACCCCCACCCCAAGTATACTCCACTCTGCAACCCTCATTCCCGACTCTTAGGGTAATCATAATGCCCTAAAATATATCACTTTTAAACTATTCTCTCCCTCATCAGCTTCAATGCAGTAAACATAATTTATCTGGTTTTTCTCAGTCTTACCCCCACCCCGATATCAGCCTCATTCAACAACAGTGGCACCATATAATATCTGTCCTTTTGTGACTGAGGTATTTCACTCAGCATAATGTCCTCCAGGGTCACCCATTTTGAATAATATTGCATGAGTTCCTTGTTTTTCAATGAAGCATAGTATTCCATTGTGTGAATATACCAGAGCTTCTCTATTCATTTGTCTGTTGATGGGCACTTAGGTTGTAAACTTTATTTTTATGATCAATGAACAAGTTTGCAGAAAAACCTGGTAATTATAAATTCATTTCAAACATAAAGTAAAAATGTATTTATCAAGATGAACTTTGAGATGACTAATTTAATGAAAGTTTTAAATTATTATTTAATTAAATATATCTTTGATAAATATTGATCATTGTGGAGGGTCATCAGACCTTATGTTTATAGGTCACTATGAGTTATGCTCAACTTGAAGGCAATCAACAATGACAACAACATATCTTAAAAGAAGTAAAAATGATAACTGAGGTACAAACAGAGACTTGTACATGAATGTTCATAGTAGTGTTATTAACCATCACAAGAACATGGAAACAGCCCAAATGCTAAACACAATAAAATTAATTGAGAAATTATGGTACATTCATTCACATAATGGGATACCACACAGGAGTAATGATTTTGTAAATTACTTCCTAACTTGGGAGCGACTGGAGGGTATCATGCTAAGTGAACAAACTCAGTCTCATAAAGAAAAATACTGTATAAAACCATCATTGTAGAATGAGTATAAGGATCCAAGGTGGAGAGGGGGGAATAGAGAGTGAGGATGGTTGGGGGTGGGGGGTGTTAATCAGCGTTGCACTATTTGATGGGTGGAAAGAAAGGAAGTTAAAGGAAGGGGGAAAGATCCAGTATGAAAGACAATGTATATGAACTTTGTAAGTAAATAAGTATCAGATAAAAAAATAAAATTCTATAACTTAAATAAAAAAAGAACCAAAAAACTCAATTAAATATGTTGTTAGTGTGCGATTCAACAGCACATAACAACAACAACAACAACAATGTGACATCGAGTCGCCTGTGACCCTATGTACAACAGCTCTGAACTAGGCCCCCTCCTGAGCCACTCTCACTAGTGTGACTCCAACATACCTAATCCCATTGTCCATATTAAATATATTTCATTAAGTACAAGTACACAAATGAAGACAATTATCTGAACTCAGCTCTGTTCAAGCCCCTGAGAGGGAGAGGCCTTTATTTAGTAGAAGATATTTAAATTGAAATAAAATTCTTGAATTCCCTGAGCCTTCAATTTGATTCATAGTCTGTAAAATTAAGGAGCTGGAGTCAATGTCTTAACCTAGTTCTCACTTATTTACACAGTGAGACTTCAAAGACTGTCATTTAAATATTCTTTTCTTTTTTGGTATTGTATCAAAGCTAACAAATTCAAGTTGGATATAAGTATAGATCTATAAATACTACTATAGATGCAGAGTAGTTGAAAGTTTCTAAAGATTGACTATATGATCTCTATATACCAGCTATAATGAAAAATGTAAGAAACACTAGAGTCTTGTCATGTCTCTTCCATTGAACTCTAGATAGTTTTCTCAAGATTCTCCCTGTCATGTTAACATGAATGTGCAATTGAACGCCTATCTGTCTGTCCATAAAACGGTCAATAAAACTAGAGTTCTCTAACTGAAGGCTTTTTGGCATCAGGTAGTACAGTTCTTCACTTCCTTTCTCTCAAAATTATCCTGGAGGAAATAACAAATGTCCAAGTGGATAATTAGAATTCTTTCATTTCATTCTAATTAATTCAATATGAAAGATTATTATTAGAAATATTGCAAATTTGGTATTTGGACATGTTTATTTTGTCTTTTTAGATTTAATTAAAGCAAATTCTTATCAGTTTTTGCTGAATATATCTTATTAAAATAATAAGTGTTTAAAGATAACTTAATATTTTTCCCAAGGTGCATTTAAAAAGTCTTGCAGTATAATTAAAATGAAAAGCACTTAATCTTTCTATTCATAAAAATGCCACTTTAAAAATCTACTGATCCACAAATTAGAGCTATCGTGCTTTGTATTTCAATGCAGTTAAAGAAAATCTTACATAGAGAAAAAAAGAAAGAGCCATCAATAAACCTAAATGCCAAATTGCATTGAAAGAAAAGGCACTGAATTTTCATTTTGGATTTTTCCCAGAAGCTTTTAAGTAGACGAAAAAAGGGAGGGGGAGGAAATGAGCAACAGAAAGAACATTAAAAAATAAAGATAACAGAGCCTTAAAATCTGCAGGGAAATGAGAGTACAAGAGCCCCCTAAATTGGCACTGTTTCAAATTGTGTTTCTGTAAGACTAATGAAATGAGAAGTGTTGTTTCAAGCTTCATACCATGTCAGATGATATAAAACTAAAATGCCCTTGAGCTAATCAGAATGGTCTATTCAACATAATTCACCAATCTGAAGGCTTCTTAGCAGGATAAGAAGTGTTCTGCTCTTTGTGGAGGTTTTTCATCCCCTTTAAAAGTAGAGACAATTGTAAAAGTAAGCAGCTCCAGTCAATAAGTACTGAATGTAGGTATCACTTTTCATTTACTTACACAGCTTTGCTTTTAGTTAAATGCTCAAATTCTGAAATAAGTATCAAAGGGTATGTTGTTGTTGTTGTTAAGTGTCGTCGAGTCGCAGATGACTCATAGCTACCCTATGAAGGAGAGTCCTTGACACTTGGGTACCATCAAAGGTTATACACTCATTCTTTTTAAAAATATGAATTAAACTAACAGATGTGTACTACAGGGCTATTGTATATGTTTTTCATACTTTACATAGAATTTATCATTCTTACTACAGAGATACAGATTATTTTATCTTTAGAGATAATCTACTTTTGGTGGATTTATGGCAGGAAGTCAAGTTATGTTCAATTTTAGTGGATAGACAGCTCAGCCATTACTTGAATTTTATAATGTTGTATCTGACTCTAACTCACTTCTTTGATTGATATGAATAGCTATCGACTGATACTGTTTGTAAGGGTGACCAAATACAAAGAGGCATACTCAGCTTCCAATTCAGATTAGTGTAAAGATTTCCCTTAGATCCCTTCTTAACTCAGAGTTTAAGTTTCCATGGTCAGTGAGTCAATTGCAGGGCTTATTGAGCTGATGTCAGACTTGTCAGCCTGCATTGCCAAAGGTGAAAGTACCTACCAGGCATTCTGCAGTGATGTCATCACAGGATTCCGCGTGACCAAAGCAATGACATGGTTCACAGATGCCACCAAAAATTGTACCATTAACCCGTCTGTGCCGAGGCCAGCAAGTCTGAAATAAAGATGATGTTTATATCCGTCATTGTGATCAAAGAGAAGTGCAAAATAATTTTTTTTTAAAAAAAGGAAATATAATTTAGTTGGAAAACTCAGAAAATGGGGTTGTCAAAGGCTTGGTCTTCTTGAAACATTGCTACTCACTGAGCTATTTTTCCTGACATTGGAGTTTTGTACTGACCTTAGCGTTACTGGCAGGCATGAGATTAGAGGAAGCATTAGCTTGGTTTCTCTTCTGAAATGGTAAAATAAAGCAGAGATATAAAGAACTGAAATGTGACAGAGTAAAAAGCACAGATGGGAAAATAGGAAAAGTACTGAAAAATGGCAACAAATAGAAAAAGACTCTCGAGAAAATCCTTGCTAAGGAAAGTACTCAGCAGCGCCCTTAGCTATGTTGATGGTGTCATACTCTCCTCCTCCTGGTAGTAACTGCCCTGGGGAGCAGTGATGACCTCCTTGCCCTCTTGGGCCACCTGGGATCAGTTTCCAGCCCATGCTTCTCACGTGCATTCAATGCCCACCTATCCATGAAGGCTTGTCTGTTACATCTAGGCTTAAGACAATTGCTGAAGAACATATAATTAAGAGAGTCTAAGAAGAAAGGTCCTGGGTTCTATTTCTGAAAAACAACCAAATAAAACTATATGGATTATAAAGAGCCAATGTATAACTGATCAAGAGAGAGCATGGTCCAATACCAGGTACTGTTTCATGATAATGTACATCGAGTTTCTATTAGTCAGGGGCTAACAGGATGCCAACTGATAAAAACTGCCTTTATGTCCATCATGAACCTTTGAACTCATGGAGGAAAAGCAGTACTCCGATCTTATATGTGGTCTTATAAGTATCTGGCATAGCTAAGTGTACATAATTCATATTTTTCATTCCAAATTTCTTCCACCCGATTAAGCCTTCTCAAATTTCTTAAGACAGTTTATGATTCATTTATCACACATCCCCATAAAATTTTATGGCATGGCTCTGCTATGACTTTACTCGTATTCATCATGCCGTATTTAAAATGTAAAACACTTTCTTCCATAAGCTGGAATTCTGATTAAAATAGGATGCCTGTATTTCAGACTACCTGTATTTCAGTGCTTGCTCTCTGCCAACTACCAGTCCTAATTAAATTTCCCTTTTGTGTGGATTCCTGTAAACTGAACATGAGTTGGGGGTGCAAAATAAGTACCAAACGAAACTGCTGTCCTTCTGGGGATTGCGATCCCTGTCAAGCTAAAACTGCATTTTGATAGTTAATTATAATATTTATATTTGCATAAATAAATAAAAGGACTTTGTAAGATTGCTAGTTGAAACTGGAAACAAAAGAGGAATCACTGAAGAGATAATATACATAGAATTGTGTTGTACATTGTTGCAAATCTGTCTCCTGCCTCAGGGCATGAGGACACTTAAATTTGAATATTGATAACAGACACATAAAAAAAAAGGGATGTGCAGAGACTTAGAGATTGGAAGAAAGGCAAAAGCAATTTTCCTTTTAACTTGAGCTGTACAAAAAAGGCGCCAATGTTCTATTTCTAGTGATGTCTTCCTATTAAAATCTTTGCCATTAAGGTATTCTGCTGGCAGAGTTTGTAGGGAGTTGTGCTTTCTCCCTAAAGGACAAGGCTGCGGGGGGAAAATCCATTGGTGACTCTGGTCAGTGGGGTGGCAGGAGGTAGAAGGTTAAAGGGCATTCAGCTACATGTTGTTTCTGACTTGATGGCAATGGGTTGGGTTTTGATTCATTATAAAATTTATTTCCTTTTGTAATTAAGCTATCTCCACATCTATCTATCTGCATACACACACAAACCAACCACACACCTGACTGAGCCCCTTACCCTCCAAAGAGCCAATCACAGTGTCAAGACACACACACACACACACACACATACACCACACTGTTGTGTGCCATCAAGTTAGAACTGAAGGATAGCTGACCCTCCAATGGGTTTTTAGAGGCAGTAATCACACAGGAGGAAATTGTCCATCCTTCTCCCACAAAGCAGCTAGGGGTCTGAACCATGTGCCTTTGGGATTTTAGCACAGATTTTTACCACTAGGCCACCACTGTGTGTGTGTGTGTGTGTGTGTGTGTGTGTGTGCGCTGATCAGAACCATTTTTTATTTTGCACCATCCTCATATTACTTAATATGCCTGAGAAAGGATTGTAAAAACCAAGGATTTAAAAAACACAAAGAAAAGGAGCTGATTTACTGTGGTCAATATGTATAATTATTAGTTCCAAATCTCCTTTTTCCAGTTTCCAGCCCCTTACATTTCTCAGCTCATTAATTCCATTGTTTGTTGGTAGTTGTCACAGAATTTATTAGTTTGTGTTTCTAATCTTTTCCCTGCTTTTTGTATCAGCCATTGCTTCATTTCTATTGGGTCATCACTACCAGCTGACCCTCTGACCAGCACAAGAAGCATAGAAAACAATTAAACATCCCCTAAATATTCTATAGCTTTCCAGGTATGTGTTTTTCTTTTCCATATAACTACTCTCAAGAGGCCCCTATATGTCTCCATCTCTTCCTTACTTCTCTTCACACTTAATTTTATTTTAATCTGTCTTGTGTCACCACCAATCTTTTAAAAGGGTCTTTCCAGTGTTACCAAATGCCAGGCAGCTAAACCTAATGTGCAGTTCTATGATTACATTGTATCTTGTCCCTCAGCAACATTTGCCCAGTGAATTTCTAGGGTTTCCTTGCCTGTAATTATTATGAAGCAGATTAGGAGGCTTTATTTCTTCCATGTCATGGGCTTGGATTTTGAACTACAAACTTTTAGGTTTATAGCTGAGTACAAAGCATTTGCACCACCCAAAGACTTGTATGGAAACTTGGTAATTTCTGATGGTTCATTCACTAAATTTTTTTTAGTGAAATGAAAATATGAAAAATTTTATAAGGAAATTAGTATTCTCTCTATCATATAGCATAGAAAATAGAGATTTTAATAAAATCCCTTTCTTTTTTAAAAATCACTTCCAATTTGCTTTTTCTTACCTACCTTTCCCACTTAAGTGAATTATGATAGCACTAGAAAAAAATTAAAAGAATAATTGTGAAGAAAGTTACAAGAAGTCAAGGACAAACAAGGAAGAGAATTTTGTACATGATTTGTCACAACAGGTTAAAGAAAAAGAGGATACCTTTATAAGGGAGTCACTCAGATGTTCTCATGGTTCCAGCCATCTTGAATTAAACCTTAATTGTCAGGGAAGTTTTTTCAACTTATAAAGGAAATTTTGAGAGAGATTTAAAGTCTTGAAGATTTAAATAAAGTCAAAGTGGCTGACTTTATGAAAAACTTCAATGATAAAGCAGAAGAAATTAGGTAAGGTTAGGCTCAGATATTAGTGGGTCTGGGATGAAAGGTTTTGTTAAAGAAAAACAGGATTTTTTAGGGTATAGAAACAACAATGAAGAAGTCAGAGAGAAGCTGCAATGCTGTTAAATTCAGAGTCTCCAGATTTGACTGAGGTTTGAGTTTTGTTTCTTTTTTACAGATATCAAAGTAAATTTATTTATCAATCAATTACTGTGTGACAGTCACAGGATTATTTCATTATGCCACGTCTGTGGCTCTGTTGTAAATCTTTTTTTCATATTTGCATGCTTCTCCTTTATTATCTCTTGCCTAATTGTTGTCAGTATTTAATAATTCAGTTTAATATTTCTCCACAACAGCATACCTTCCATGGCGCTGTTCTCCACTGGAACAGTGTACACTCATTTGAATGATTATAGCACTTATGTTAGGAACTACTACTGGTCCCTTGATTATACAGTGCTGTGTTTTAATTTTTATAGGTGTTTACTTTGTCTTCCTAAATATATTACTCACTCTTTAGAGACAGAGCTTATATTTCTTGATAGTCCCTTAATATCTAATAGAAAATTAATCAAAGATTCTCAGTATTTTTGGAGAAAGAAAGGAAGCAAAAGTAAGCCTACGTAAGTAAACATTTCTAATATTATCCACTTTTACATTCAATGGGCATTCAGAGCTCTGCAAAAGATGACGAACAGAATTGAGAGCAACTAAAATTGGAATAAGCATTAAAGCTGAAGTAGAATCAAGGTATTTATTATTTCAGTTGAAATGGGAACTTAAAGGTTCAAAGGGAGCTTTTTAGTTTAAAATCAAATCCACAAAGCTCTTGATACAAGTGTATATTTCATCAAATATGGCATCACATGCAAAATCAAATTTTGGTTGGCATAGGTAATTCATATCCACATTTACCTTTCTCTGCGAGACTTTTGGAAAAGCAAGTAGAACAATGAATTACATTTAATTTTATTTCTGTATTAGTGGATCAGAGGCCAGCTAAAGAAAATACATTTGTCACAAATATGTTTCTAAGTCCTGTATATCCTCACACAGCATGCATTATTTTAAAGTACAAGAGAACTGACAAAGCAATGCCTAGAGTACTTCTATAAATGGCATAATGTGGTGGTGTTCTGAACTGGAACATCTTAGTTCACTCGAATGATTCCTTAAAGGAACCATTTTTGAGGAATTTAAACTCATTATTTCTCTCCGAGCCATGCCCTGTATCAGAAAAACACTGTTTACATTTTTTTTTTCGACCAGGCTTCAAGCAAAACAACTTTTAAACCACCAGAAAGAAAATACCCAGAAATAAATAAAAATATTTTCTTATAAGACAACAGTGTGATATTAATTAGGACATGTTAATATTATTATAAATCTATGATACTGAGGCACAAATAAATGTTTCTGGTGCTGGATGCTAATAAATTAAAGAGCTATAGGGAGTTTTCTAGACAAGAGCATTTCTTTCATGTATCATAAGCTTCACTTACTGAAAACAATATGATTCGAATTAGTGTCTACAAGACACATTCTTGGAGAGAAAAAGCCTTTTGTTTGTAGGGAAATATTTGAAATATTCTCCTGTAATTTAGAATGCAATAGATTAAGTAATAAACAGCATTACAGAAACATAATTTTCCATTGTATTAAGACAAGTTATTAAAATAAGAGCCAAATAATTTTGAGATAACATGCTCTGCTTAGCAGATTGAAAGCTATGACTATGGTTGACCTTCAAGTTTCTTCCTTAGTTATATACTATCATTTGAGTAAACTCTTTTTAGGAGACTATATTGAATATTGAATATATAGTACTTTGAATAAAAATGAATAAGGAGAATCAAAGGAGATGTGGTGATTCTAAATTATACTAGTGAAGAATATTGAACATACCATGGACTTCCACAGGCCAATGTCTCTTGGAAGAAAAACAGCAGAATGCTTAGAACCCTTAGAGGCAAATATTGCATAAATTATCAGGATTTAATACTTCCTCAAGTAGGGCATTCATGCTTGACAAATTCAAGGGTCAAGGAAAAAGAAGTAAACAATGAAATAGACTAATGCTATACATGTACCAGGGGGCTAACAAGGGATAATGATTGTGACGCTGCAGGAAGGCTAAGCAAGAGTTTTGTCCAGTTGTGCATAGAGTCCCTATAAATTGAAACTGAGTTAATATCGCCTAAGTATAACATAACAATAATACATTGAAAACAATGTTAAACAAACTTAGAATGTACTGAGAACGCTTTCTTGTAAACTTACTTCACAAGAAGAACCACTATACCCTGGTGGGCACTGACAAACTTCTACAGCATTTGCGATGATGCCTCCATCAGTAGCATAGGGAACAGCAGATTCAAGAGTAACAGCACTCAACCTGGGACAGAAGGGAAGTGAAATTTAAAACGTAATCAAGGTCTTAGATTGTTGTTTGTTGTTATGTGCCGTCAAGTCGCTTGCAACTCAGCAACCCTATGTACAACAGGTCTAAATTCTGCTCTGTCCTGTGCCATACTCACTGTCTCCAACACGCTCATCCCGATTATCCCAGTCACCAAATCAATCCATTTCCCAGAGGGCCTTCCCCTCCTGCACCTGCCCTCCACCCTCCCAAGCATGAAATCCCTCTCCAAGGACCAATCCCTCCTTAAAACATGACCAAAGTATGTCAGATGAAACCTCAGAATCCTTGTCTCAAAGGAACAGCCTGGTTTAACCCTCTCCTGGATGAATCTGTTTGTTTACTTAGCAGTCCATGGCACCCTCAGCACTCTTCTCCAACACCAAAGCTCAAAAGCATCAATTTTCCTTCTATCCTCCCTCGTCATTGTCCAGCTCTCTGACGAATATCAAGTGATTGCAAAGACCATGGCCTGTACCAGATGCACCTTAGTCTCCAAAGACACACCGTTGCTCTTCAGTACTTTAGAGAGGTCCCTAACAGCAGACTTTCCCATCGCAATACGTCTTTTAATTTCCTGGTTGCTGGTGCCAAGAGTGTTGATTGTGGAGCCAAGCAGACTAAAGTTGTTAACAATCTCAATCTCTTCACCATCCATCCTGATGCTGCCAATCGGTCCAGTGGTGAGAATCTTTGTTTTCTTAATATTGAGCTTCAACCATGTTGAAGGGTGCAGTTCCTGATCTTCTGCAGCAAGTGCTTCAGGTCCTCCTCAGTTTCAGTAAGCAGGGTTGTGTCATCTGCATAACACAGATTGCTAATGAATCTTCCACCAATTCTGATGCCACATTTTTCCTCATAGAGCCCAGCCTCCCAGATGATCTGATCTGCATACAGATTATAAAGGTATGGAGACAGAACACATCCCTGGCGTACGCCCTTCCCAATTTTGAACCATGCAGTGTTTCCTTGCTCTATTCTGATGACTGCCTCTTGGTTCAAGTATAAGTTTCACATTAGCACGATCAAGTGTTCTGGGATTCCCATTCTTATCAGAGTTAGCCAGTTTGTTATGGTCCATACAGTCAAACACCTTTGCATAATCAATGAAGCACATACAAACATTCCTGTGGTACTCCCTGCTTTCAGCCAAGATCCATCTAACATTAACTACAATATCCCTAGTACCACAACCCCTTCTAAACCCAGCCTGGACTTCTGGCAGTTCTCTGCTGATGTTCTGTTCCAGTCATTTTTGGATAATCTTCAGCAGGATCTTGCTTGCATGTGAAATCAATGATATTGTTCTATAGTTTCCACATTTTATTGGGTCACCTTTCTTTAGAATGGGAACAAATATAGATCTCTTCCAGTCAGTTGGCCAAGTGGTTGTTCTCCAGATTTCTTGACACAACTTGGTTAGCATGTCCAGGGCAGCATCTATTAGCTGAAATATGTCAATTGGTATACCATCTATTCCTTATTTTTTTGCTATTTCTTTGAAAGCAGCTTGAACATGCAATCAAGATGCATTGATAATAATGGGTGACTGAAATGTAAAAGTTGGGAATAGAGAGGAAGAATCAGTAGTTGAAAAACATGGACTTGGACACAGAAATGGAGCTGGAGATAGAATGATTGAATTTTGCACAATCAATGACTTATTCATTGCAAACACACTCTGTAAGAGACATAAATGCAGGTTATGCACATGGTATGCATAGGAATCAGATCAATTATATCTGTGGAAAAAACCACTGGAGAAGCTCAATATCAGCTGTGAAAATTAGGCCTGAAGCTGATTGTGGAACAGACCACCAACTACTCATATGCAAGTTCAAGCTGAAGCTGAGGAAAATTAAACCTAATCCAAGAGAACCAAAATGCAACTTTGAGTCTATCCCATCAGAATTTCAGAACCATCTCAAGAACAGGTTTGAGGCCTTGATCACGAATGAGCAAAGACCAGATGAGTTGTGGGAGGATATTAAGGGTATCATTCAAGAAGAGTGCAAACTTCATTACAAAGACAGAAGAGGAAGAAAAGACAAAAATGGATGTCAGAAGAAACTCTGAATATCGCACTGGAACACAGAGAAGCCAAAGCACAAGAAAAAACTCAAGATACTAAAGAGCTGAACAGAAGATTTCAAAAGGCAGCACGGGATGACAAAGTAAAATATTACAATGAAATGTGCAAGGAGTTGCAGTCAGAAAACCAAGAGGGTCGTACTCGTTCAGCATTTCTTAAGCTCGAGGAACTAAAGAACAAATTCAAACCCCTAGTTGCTATATAATCAAGGATGCTTTAGGCAGAGTATTAAATGATCCAGGAGGTATCAAAAGTTGATGGAAAGAATATACTGAGTCATTGTATCGAAAGGAATTAGCAGACACAGAAGAATTCAATGAAACAACGTATGAGCAAGAGCCTGTGGTGGTGAAGGAAGAAGTTCAAGCTGCTTTGAAAGAAACAGAAAAATTAAGAAGATCTTAGATGCTATATAGTTATATAATAACAGATCTACAATTGTTGTTTTTATGAACCCTGGAGTCACCTGTAAATCATAGCAATTCTATGTACAACAGTCCTGAAGCCTGCCCTGGTTTAGCCTGTCTCACTGACTCCAACACACCAAACCTCATTGCCCCAGTCACTGTATCAATGCAACTCATCCAGGGTCTTCCTCTTCTGCACTGGCCTCCATCCTTGTGAGCATGATTTTCTTCTCCAAGGATTAGTCCTTCCTGGCCAAATGCCCAAAGTAAGTGAGATTTAGCTTCAAAATTCTAGCCTCCAAAAAGACACTTGGTTTGACCCTATCCTAAAGATGAAAGAAAATATCTACATATAAAAAAGTAGACTAATAGATATTGTGACATTCTTTTCTTTAATTTCATTTCATAAATTCTCCCAACCACCATATCTATCACATGCTGATACATAAGTTACATATTTTTGTATGTGGGTGCATAAAAATCCAACTTTGTAAAATGTTTTTGTTGTTGTTGACTGCCTTCAAGTTGAGTATGACTCATAGTGATCCTATGAACAAAAGGCCTGAAGCCCCTCTATAGCTATCGACATTTATCAAAGTTCATAGAGTTTCCGGAGGCATGTTGTTTAGGAAGTGGATGCCACTCCTGCTTCCAAATATTTCTAAGTATCTTTAATATTTAA